CAAAACAAAGTATATTTAAAGACCCAAATTCGAAGGAGCTCACTTGAAAAGCACTTGCTCTTCTGGTCTCCCAGGGCTGCTTCCCGAGGCAGGGAGCCTATTTCACCCTCTTGGGGAAGTGAAGAAACCCGTCTGCCCCGGGAGCTGCCTTTCGATCAGTGCGTTTATTTCCCTAGCCACACAGCCAGAGGCCCTTTTCCCAGATCCCAGGGGACGCTGCAGGTCTCCCCTAACCTTCTTTTTCCTCCCCTCCCCAACTGCATTCTGAAACCTGGCCGTATATTTCTTCCTCAGTTTGACAAGAGAAGCTGGTTGGATCCTGGTGTTGAGCAGAGGGTGGACTTGATGACCTCAGTGACCCTTTTTAGCTCTAACCGCAATTCTCTGAAGGGAAAGTTCATTAGTGCAGGAAAGATAAGAAGGCACAGGGGGGGAAAGTAAAGAAAGACAGAGACAGGTACAAACATCCAGACAGTTTTCTCTAGAAAGCTTTTAATTTCTTATTTTTCTTTCTCTTTGAAATTAGTCTCCTTCCTGGTTCGTTTTTTCATGGAAACTGTGGTTAAAACACTTCATAGAAGTAGGAGAGACTTAAAGAGCCCACACTCTCTAGGGTGGTTTGTGTCTGTGGGCATCATGTGTGCTTCTCTGATTCCTTTGCCTTCCCCAGTCCTGGAAATGAGTGGGGAGGAGGAGGAGGAGGAGGAGGAGGAGGAGAAGGGAGGGAGGGAGGGAGGGAGGGAGGGGACACAGGAAAGCGCAGCCTGAAAGGAGATGCTGAGCCAGGGGTGGGCTTAGTGTGGCAGGACAGCCAAAATGGTGGCCAAGGATGCCAAAGCCATAGAGCCAAAAGGATTACCTGACACGCTGCCAGATGCTCCAAGGCTGGCACTTTCAGTGGGCAGAACTGGCCGAGAGTGGGTGGTAGTCAAGGAGGCCTCCAGGAACGGGGTGCTGAAGAAGTCCAAGCCCAAAGGGCCTCCAGAGGGGACAGCCTCCTGGTGTCCCGGGTGCCCTTCTTCCTCTGCAGCTGGCACCGTCGTCGTCAGAGCCGCCTCCTGCTCCTTCTCCGATGCTTCTGCCCAGGGCTCCTCTTCGGAAGGGCCGGCTTCGGTCTCAGCCCCATCCTCCATCTCAGGCTCCTCTCCAGAGCCAGCAAAAGCCTTCGGGGTAGCCACGGCCTCGTCTGGAGGACTGGAGATGGCGGCCGGGGAGACCCTGGCTGGTGGTGGCCAGGAGGAACCCGAGTGGTCCCCACTCTCTTCAGATGGGCCGGTTGGCGTCACGCTCAGGGACGGGAGCAGCATGGGAGCCCAGGGGGTCACCGGGAAGGCGGCTGTCCCTGGAGGCTCAGATCCTGCCTCTCGGGGAGGACTGGGGTGGCGAGTGCCTGCCCGCCCAGACACGGGGGAGCTGCTTTCGACTTGCCTGGCAGAAGAAGCTCCCGCCTCAGTCTCTTCAGGGGGACTGGAGCCCTGGCCGGCACCGTGAGTCCTTTCGGTGACCGTCTCTGAGGGAGACGCAGAGAGACCTTCATGGACTTTGCCCACTGTCTCTCCCTCTGGGCTGTCAGAGGAGCTGGCTGCGGTCTCTGGGGAGGGCTCTGCAGGGCTGCGGACACCGTGGGGCTCCTTCTCATCCCTGGGCTGGCTCCCCACTGCCTCTCCGTCCTCAGCCTCCCCTTCCTGAGGAGATGCCTCCGAAATCTCTGGCTCTCCTTCCTCCCTCTGTTGCCTTTGGTCCGTGACGTGGGCCTCCTGGGTGCTGGGCACCTCCTCTGCGCCGGGCTCTGCTGGCTCTCGCCCTGAAAAGCCCAAGGAAGCGGGTGAGAGAGGGAGGACGTCCAGGGAGGGGCCCCAGATGCCCCCTCGGCATCCACAAAGCAAATGGAGGCTCCAGCAGCGGAACTTCGTTTTTCGCAACACGCTGCTTCGGGGGGGAGGGGCTTGCCTCCGCCCTCCATTTTGGTACAGGTGGGGCATCATCAAACATTCCTGCCTCTTGTCACTTTGTGTCAAATTCTAATCAATTTGCAATTAATTGATCCGACATCAATCATCAGATATTAATCAATCTGCTCTCAAGTATCCAGGTGAAATTATCAGGGGTATCTGGTGGGCAAGGAAGTTCCCGATCAGGCCCACAGACAAAGGTGGCATGAGGTGACCAGGGTGAGGCAGCTGCAGCCAGCTGCAGCTGCAGCCAACATTCAGAGGACCATAAGCCTCTTTTCACACACAGACCCCTCCCCCAATGCACTCCACACCCCATCAGGCACTGGGAAGCCCACCTCTCGCAAGCAAGGCCTTGGCAGCGGCTGGCCCCCAACTGCCCCCACCCCGAGCCCCTCCAACCGGCTGACAGGTAGAGGGGTTGCCTGTCCAGACCATCAGGAAGGTGGCCACAGAAACACAGAGCCCTTGGCCACGCAAGCCACCTCCTCCCACTGCGTTGCTGCTGTTGAGTATAGCCAGACAATTAGGGTCTAGGACAGTTGGCTGCAGCTGCCTCACCCTGGTCACCTCATGCCACCCCTCCCCACCCCAGCCACCCCACCCCAGCTGCCCCTCTCCAGTTGCCCTTCCCCAGCCTCCTCACCCTGAGTAATTCGCCCCAGGGAACTGGCCTCAATGGACAATTTCATCCTCCTCCTGCTCCTCTCTTTCCCTGGGGGGGGAGCAACTGGGGGGAGGTGGCTGTGGCCAATTGTCCCATTCCAGACACTTAAGCTCCCCATCTCTCTCTCTCTCCTGGCTAGAGAAAATGACACCCCTCAGCTCAGGGTCTACAGTGCAGATTACGGGACATTCCCACATCCAGCAGGGCTTCTCACTGCTGTGGATTGTTTTGACTTTGGGGGAAACTGAAAGCGCTACATCCAAGATGCTTTGAAAGAAAACAGAGGCAAAGGAGACAAACTAAAATCCACAAAAATTGCTTTCCCCCCCCCCCCCGCCCCCACCGAACAGAGGGATCGGAGAAAAATAGATCTCAGTGCTGTAAGCTGTTTGTGTAGCGTGTCCATGGCTCTTAGCTCTCAGCTGCTGGTACAATCTCATTGCTTTCAATGTGTAGAAGAGCATAAAGCTTACTCTCTTGCACTCCCTTTCTCCGATCTCTCTTCTCCGCAAGGGAGGAAAGAAAGAAAAATACATAGGGCAGGCACAGTTCAACATACTGACTGTAATAACGATCATGTGGCTGAGGGATGTGGCAAAGATCATAAATGGTTGTAAATTGGTATAAAGTTATTTTTTCAGCACCATTGCAACCTTGAATGGTCACTGAATAAATGTTGGTAAGTGAGGACTAACTGTATAGAAATCGGCCACTGGAGGGAACTAAAGTTCCAAGCAGCAAAAAGAAAGTGAAGCCTGCAAAATGGCAAACAAGGGCAGGGCACTTGTGGTATTTCAAAGGATTTTTGAAGAACTGGGAGAGAAACTTATAGCAAATTTAGCAGCAATAATTTCTGCACCTGTAAATGCATTTCTTTGAAAAAAATATAAAGAGAAAAAGTGAAAAATATGATAGACAGCAATATGGAAGAGTTTGTGGATAGACAGGATGAAGAGGGGATACAAATTGTAGCTGCTGGAGAAATATCAGAAAATAAAGAAACTGAGGATTACAAAATAGCAAAGACAATCAGAGAAGAAACACAAATGGCAACTCAAGAGATGAAAAAAGACCCGGGCTGGGACTTCTTTTCAGGATTACAAGAAAATGTTTCTAAAACCCTGAAGAAATCTTTGGGATGGGAGAAAGCAAATGTGAATCCTACTACAGCAACTTCATGAAATCAAAGATAAACATGGTTTGAAGCAAAAGAAAGGAATATGAAGTTGACTTGTTTGATCTAAGCTAACGTAAGAAAAAAATTATAAAGTTCTGGAAACCCTTTATAGACTTTTTGCTGACATTTGAACAGAAATGATGATTTTTAGATTTGTGAATGGTCAAGAGGGGAGGATTATGGTAAAAAATGAATCGTGCATGTAATTCTACTGGGGGTGAGAGGGATTTATTAATTTGCCAGTACTTGTTGCAAAGAGTATTGGGAGTTGCTTCTTTAAATATTCTTTTTTTGCCCTCTCTCCTTTCATTTCCCGATTTCAGTTTGTGTTATCTTTCAGTAATGTAAAACTCATATTTAAGTATTTTTTTAAAAAAAGATTCCTGTGCTGGTCAGAGTATATAGCTATCTTAGGAATTAAGAACTGTCCCCTTAAGGGATAGCCTTCTGGGTAATGTAGTTTAAGTTACCTGGTCATATCTGTGTTCGGACTGGCCACTGGGAGGGACTTCTGATTAGTTACCGGATTTCCTGGCTATGTGCTGGTCAGCGAGGTCTTTATGAATTCCAGCCACGAGAACGGTTTGCTCCGTAGCATGGAAGAAACTATCTCTTTTTACCTACATGTTGGGTACAGATTATGCAATGAATGTCAGATGTATCTTCAGTAACTGTGAGTTAATGTTTAAAGCAGTGGTTCTCAACCTGTGGGTTGGGACCCCATTTGGGGTCGATCGACCATTTCACGGGGGTTGCCAAGCAAGGCTGTCCGCCATTTTTTTTGTCCGTCCGCCATTTTTTCCCCCTTTTCTGGCGGGTGCCTTACCTCCCTTGGGCTGGGACAGCTGGTGGTCGGCCTGCTCCGTCTCTGCCACTTGCCAGCTATGCCTCGGCCGGCGCAGGGGGAGGAACCACGCATGCGTGGCGTTCCCGGGCAGGGAAAGTCCTCGACTTATAACCGGTTGGGTAGTCCTCGACTTACGACCGGTTTAGTCCTCGACTTACGACCGGTTGGGGTCGCGGCATTAAAAAGGTTGAGAACCACTGGTTTAAAGAATGCCTGATGAATTAAAGTAATCTGCATGAAACCTTTCCGTGGAGTTAATCTGCCTGCATCAAGCAATATCCAGCAGCAGCCTCCTTGCTTGATCCAGAACAATGCCCCTTCTCTCCTGCCACCTACCAGGCCCGTGTCGCCTGGCACAGCTGCCAACTCTTTCCTCCCCCTCTTCTCCTCCGCTCCGCCTGTCACAACCGCCTGGGCCAGACTCCTCGGGCTCTGTGGTGGCCGCCTCCTCAAAGGCTTTGCTTGGCTCCTCTGGCACCTCAACGGGATCCTGGAAGAGGGGCACAGAATAAATGGCCCCCCTGGACTCCTTGGCCCCCTCGGGCTCTCCCTCGGCCAGCTGCAGCTCCTCCATCCTCTGGGTCACCGTGCTGATCTCCTTGCTGCTCTCTGCCTCAGGGACGGGAGATTCCAGGGAAGGGCCGGTCTCCTCTGCAACAGAAAGAGAGCGAGGGTTACTGCCCGGGCCGTCTTCTGGGACCCTGAAAGACATCTGGGCAGCTGGGCCGGGCAGCAGTGGCTGCTTGCTTGGGAATCTCCTCCTTGGGGGGGAAAAACGAGGGCAGGGATGGCCTTGTGAGGAGGAGAAGACAAAAGCTCTGGGTCTGGGCTCCAGTGACCCTTTGGAGGAGAAGGAGCAAGGAGGAGATTGGCCTGTGGCTGTTCATGGGAGGAGATGCCGTAGGGCAACAGTGGGAGCCAGAGGTCGTGCCCTTTTGTGCTCTGATAATGAAGGAGCAGGGAGAGCCCCCCCACCCCAAATACCCCTCTGGATGTTAAAGAGAAGAAAGAGCTGGGCTACCAAGGAATTTCCAGAGGCAGCTGGTCTCCAGATGTCACTTGTAGGAAGCAGTGGCTGGCCTGGCCATCAGAGGGAACCAGAGCTACCCACTGCTAGGTAGGTCTCTTCTGCCAGATGTGCCCCTGGTGAAAACGACCGTGCAAGTGGAACGCACAGCCGGCTTCCTGAGCCACCCCATCCTGTCCAGCTGAGGGCATCTGAGACCTTCCAGCGGATGACACAGAGAGGCTCCTGCTTGCTAATAAAGTGAGTTCAACGTCAGCAAATCATGTCCCATCTGGGAAGAGGGTAAACAAGCCCCTTCCTCGCCTTCAGGGCCTTCAGCTCTTCAGGTTTTCTTGGCAACTCAGATACTTGGCCTGTAGTGTGCATTTGTTTAAAGAAAAATCCTGGGCAAAGGACTGAGGACACTGCAGGAAACAACTGCTCACAGGAACCAAGCCCCCTCTCAAGGAAAGGCAGACCACCTGAACTTTCACGTTCCCAGTTTTTCCTGGCCAGGAGACAAACGACGGGGAAAGCTACCGCCTGCCGTGCAGGAGCTGGCCAAATACGCAACGTGGACCCTGAATCCCAGTCCCACAAGGAAGATCCCTGCTTACCTTTGAAGCAGAACACGTCGTACTTGCTCTGGGGATCTGGGAATCCCGTCTGATTGTGAAAGAGGAAGATGGTTTTGACTCCTGGCAGATTCCCTCCACACTTCTCGCGGGGTGTCACAATCGGGTAGCGCACGCTGCCGTCTGCCAGCCAGCCTGGGCTGCAGTGGTCCAGCCCTTGGTTCCAGGCCGCATAGAGCTGGCCGGTCGTGGCCATCTCCACCCCCTGAGCTTCACACTCGGCTTTGGCCTCCTCCCAGGTGAATTTCCTCAGGGAGCTCACCAAAAACAGGTCCCCTGCAGGCAGAAATGCTCACAATGCTTTAAAAGGAAAAGCACCAGCATGCTTTATTTATTGAAATACCGACCACACAGAAGTTCTTTGGAATCACTTTGGCTTAAAAAACGGAAAAATGGAATTTACTGGTGGGAGGCAGCAAGGGGTTTCCTGTAATGGTTCTATTCTACAATCAAATTGATTTCAAAAGAAAATATTTTTAAAAGTATAGTCCACAGCCCTGGGATTTTCTGTGGCCCCTCATCTGAGATCAGCTAATCAGACTGACTCCAAGAGTTTTTAAAGAGATGACAAGCAAAATGAGCTGTTCCCCCTTCGGCTTAACCATGAAGATAAAAACAATCAAACAAGATATCGCATCGAATGGAGAGGGCGTGGCCAGCAGCCCCACTTAATTATTGGAGTGAATCTCATGCCAGGCTCTTCTCACCCCCTGGCAGAAGACAGCCCACCAGCCCTGGTCCCAGAAGAAGACGGAATGGGATGGGGGCCATGTGGGGCAAAAGGCTTTTGGCCACAGAACTGACCATAAAGTTCTTCAGCGTAGCAGTAGACGTCATACATGTCATCTGGATTGACTACGCCATAATTGCGGATTCCCGGAAAGCCATTCATGTCTCCATAGCAGGCTTCGCGAGGGGTATGGATGGGATACCTAGAGGTGATCATAGTCTGGTTACATGTTAAAGCAAGTCAGGACTGGTTGCCTGCAATGAGGATGGAAAAGAACCCCAAAATGTGAAATGGGAATAAATAGGAGCTCCGCCAAATACCTTGTGAGAGAAAATGAAAGTGGAAAGATTCTAACCCCACCCAGCACAGATCTCTCCAGCCTGGAACTCGGCTCTGGTGGGCTTCTCTTCCTGGTTCCCCTGAGCCAATTCCTGCCTTGGGAAGAGAAACCAGGTGGCCAGAGGCTTCCTGATGCTCTGCTGGGACCAGGCAGGATGTCAGCAGAGGCCACTGGTGGGCATGAGGATCTGCGTCCCCCCATCTTCAATGTGCCCAGTATGTAGGAACTGTGCAATTTCCCCCCCCTAAGCTCTGTCTGAAAAAAAAATTTGGATTGAGGAAAAATCCATAAAATACATTTATTACTGTGCAAATAATTCAATTCACCAAACCAGAAACTTTACTTGTTTATTTTGCTGGTCTATGTTAAGAGGCAAACATATCTTTGTATCAGCAAAATCTAAAATATTTATTTTGGAGAAGTAGTTCCAGCCAGGTCAATATGTATATTTGGGTTCTGCTTCTTTTTCGCCCCACACACACATTGAAATTGGCTTCTAGGTAAAGAACATAGAGGTATTTCCTAGGCATGGATACTGAACAGAGTTATAACTAAGAAGCCAACTAGACTTTGGCAATGTCTGCGGACCAGAAAGTTAAGAACCAAAAACAAAACTTAAAGATGACTAAGAAAAAAATGAAATAAAAACACAAACACGTAAACTTCAAAAGTACAAAAGTTTTAAGCGTCCATGTTGAATAATTTCTGTGCAGACCAGGCAATTCTTAGGGAAAAGCGTTGCGGCCTATCCCAGGAAATGCGGTTTACTGCAGGATTTTCCAGACGTTTTTGCGTTAAAATCAATCGGACACCAATACCGGCGGTTCAGTTAAAGGTGCCTTTTACTTTCCCAACAAAGCTGGTTGGGAAAGTAACCAACACCAAACACCTCCCTTCGACCAGTCCGCTCCCACAGAGAGGGCCTCCTTAGAGTGCCGTCGGCCAGACAATGCCGGCTGGCGACCCCCAGGGGGAGAGCCTTCTCTGTGGCAGCTCCTGCCCTCTGGAATGACCTACCCCCCGACCTACGTACAGTTGCGGACCTGNATCTATTCCGTGCGGCCGGCCTGGCGTAGTTTGATTAAGTTTGATTATGTTTTAGTGGGGGTTTTGTATGGGGTGTTTTTAGAACAGGCCTGTCATTTAATTTGATTTTAGCATAGAAATTATTTATTTATTATTGTGGTTTTTAGTATCGCCTGTTCACCGCCCTGAGTCCCGTAAGGGAGATAGGGCGGTATATAAAATAAATAAATAAATAAATAAATAAATAAATAAATAAATAAATAAATAAAAACCAACCAACCAACCAACCAACCAACCAACCAGCAAGAGGAACGGAGTCCTTCCGCACTGGTCCAGGGGCGTCCGAGCCTTCCAGCAGGGCCCGATCCCCTGGGAGCGACGGCCACCCGAGCCCCGCCCCGCCCACCCGCCCCGCCCCCCTTACCTGACCGTCTGGTCCGCCAGCCAGCCGGCGTCGCACTGCTCATAGCCGCTGCGGTAGGCGGCGTGGAGCTGCTCGGGGGTGGCGATGGCCGCCCCGATCCGGGCGCAGGCCGCCTGGGCCTGGGGAAAGGTGTAGGCATAGCGGGAAGAGCCTCCCCGGTAATGGAAGACGACCCCTGCGAGGCGAGAGGAGAGACCTGGGCGCCTGGCCGGGCAGGAGGCTGCAGAGCTCGGCCCCCGCCGGCTACGGCTGCTTCTGCCCGGTGGCGCCGGGCCCCCTCAAACGCTCCAGCGATCCTTGCCACCCCGCCCTCCTCTCGCCGGCCCCGGCTTCCGCCTGGCCTCTCCCGGGGCCTTCCTAACTGTGGCCCGGGCTCCGCCGCTCTCTCTCGGGCAGGAGAAGGACTCCGGCCGCCGGAGCCCAGCCTGGCGGGGAAGGCGAACCGAGCATCTTTCTCTCGGAGGGGGCTGAGGCCAGCAACCGGCAAGCGTTGCCTGTAAGTCTCAGCACCGTTGCAACTCCAAGGCTAACTGCCCTGAGGGCCCCGCGCTCGGCTGTCCAGGCAGTGTGACTGCAAGGCTCCCTGACTCCTTTCTTCCCCCACCTGAAAGGGTGGGGCTGTACAAGATGCCCGTGGGACCCTCCTGGCTCAACAAGGCTGGGTTCTCTAGAGGTGGCCTTCCTAGGATCTTAATTTTTTTTTTATTATAAATTTTTATTATTTTTCATTTAAAAAACAGAAACATAAATCTATTATCACAATATCAACCAAAGAGAATAAAACTAAACAAAACATTCACGGACGTGTCCGGTGTCCCCCTCCTGCACCACCCTCTTCCACTTACCACTCCTCCTCCTCCCATTCTACCACCACTCCTCCTTCTAGGACAGTGGTTCTCAACCTGTAGGTCGGGACCCCATTTGGGGTCGATCGACCATTTCATGGGGGTCGCCAAGCAAGGCTGTCCGCCATTTTTTTTGTCCGCCATTTTTCCCCCTTTTCCACTGTTCTAGGATCTTAATTTTATTACAGCTTCTGCTACCCTCTAGGTTTGGTTTGGTTTGGTTGATCAACTAATGTTGAAGGTTTTCTTGACCGCGTTGGCTTGTATAGGGAAAGCTGTTCGGATCTTCCTTGAGATAATAGATTTTAAAAAATACTCTTCATGAGAATTTTGCTTACTTCACGGAAGGAAAGAAAGGAACATAGAATGATAGAGTTGAAGGGACCTTGGAGGTCTTCTAGTCCAACCCCCTGCTCGAGCAGGAGACCCTCCTCTACCACTCTGGACATACGGCTGTGTCTGGAGGCAAACTATTCCACTGGTTGATTGCTCTCACCATTAGGAAACTTCTCCTTAGTTCTAGGTTGCTCCTCTCTCGGTTAGTTTCCAACCATTGTTTCTTGCCTTGCCTTTTGGTGCTTTGGAAAATAGTTTGAACCCCTCTCATTTTTGTAGGAGCCCCTCAAATATTAGAAAACTGCTATCATGTCACCCCATCATGTCCTTTTTTATCATTAAATTAGACGTACCCAATTCCTGTATGAAAATGAACAACACATTTTCATACGTTTTAGCCTCCAGACCCCTAATCATCTTTGTTGCTGTCCTCTTCAAGGAAATGTTTGCTGACACTTACTAGTCCACCACTCAGTATATGGGGATCATAAATTGAATAAAACAGAAATAAACTATGTAAATACATAGTAGATATACAGTAGATGTTTGAGAAAAACTGCTTTGGATCATAGCAAGGAAGCGGCCAAAAGACAGATTTTAAGAGCTTCAAGGAGAGCTAGCTGCATGAAGGAATTTAAGCCACAAATGTGAAGCTACTGCTGAGAAATCCCTTAAATGATTTAACTGTGGCATATTGCAGATTATGGATTACGTTACACTTAAAGCAAACCAATTCCTAACTTAATTGGCTGCAAAAGTTCACCCAGCATTTTGAGCTCTCATCAGAAATAAAGCCAGGCGTGCAATCCAGCCGAGGGGCAGCCGAGGGGGACAGGCCTGGGTGGGCTGGGGCTGAGCCTGGTGGGAACCTCTTACCCTTCACCTTCACCTCCAGGAAATCCTGCCCGTCCTCAATCCCGTGTTGAGCGTCACAGCGATACAGTCCAGAATCATTGGAGCGCAGCTCGCTCAGGACCAGGGTGGCATCCATGGGCGAGTCAGGATAGAAGGGCAGGAAGACTCGGTTACGGTAGATTTCGCTGACTTTGACCTTCAGGCCCCGGGCTACCAGGATCTCGGTCTCTTTGCCATCAACAAGGAAGGTCCACTTTACTCGGAGGGTGCCCCGAACCCCTTGGCGGCCGGCCATTTCGGCAGTGGGCAGTGGCCGCAGGTAGGTGATGTGGCAGGGGATGGTGAGGCTGCCAGACAGGACGGCTCGCACTGGCGGAAACTTGGCAATTGAGACCCGCAGAACTTTGAGCTCATCTGGGGGGAGAAAAGGAGGGACCAGCTGTGAGAGGCCTGGGGGGGGGGTTACCTGCAGAACTGGCAGGGACTGAATGGGTCTTTCTTTCCCCATTGGGGCTGCTCTTCCATCCTTTTCTTTTCTTTGCCTAGACTGAGGCAATGGCTGACAGTCGCGGCTGCATCCTGTCCCTGGATGGCCTCCCCCCTCCACCAGTTTTGGGAGAGAGAGAATGTTACATTTTAACCATTCCATCCATTTTCACTGGCATAATCTGGAAGAGCTGCAGAGAGGTGAAAAGAGGCCCAGGGGCCACGTGGAAGTCATGGCGGCCATTGCCCACCTCCCCCTTTTATCAGAAGTGCAAAAGGCTGAACCCTCTTGGTCTGACTGCTACACCTGCCTTCTGTGAGCCCCCCCCCCACCTCTAGGGACAGAGAGGAGCACTTGGCCCACCCTGCCCAGCCACTGCTTCTGCCCCACCATGCATCAGGGTTGCGTTACCTGTGCTTTCCCTGCCAAGGTGGAGGGAGACCCCCAGAGACGCCAGTTGGGCCAAGGCAGCGCAGAGCATGAGGTCTCGGCAGTGGGCCATCTTGGTCCTGCTTGGGGGGGGGAGGGAGGCAGGAAATTGGGGTTAGAGGGAGGGAGGAGGGAGGGAGGAAAAGCGTAAGCAATGGTCTTCTCCCAAGTTCACTAGAAGAAAGAAAGAAAAAGAGGGAACATCCATATAACTGGACTATTTATCTGAATGTCAAAGATGCCAAAATGCTGTAATGGTGGTTGTTTGGCAGTCAGACAAGGACCTGAGTCTTTTCTGCACCAAATTGTTACTCATAAAGACCTGGATGACATCCCCTCCCCGAAATAGCAAAGTAATCAGCTGGGAGCTGACCTTGAACTTGGGAAAACTCTTCCCACCTCCCACCCTGGACCTCCGGGAAAGAATGTTTTCAAAGTGGATCCATTCCGGCTACATCTCGGCCCAAAGCGCCTCCAGCTTGCGGGACTGAGTTTAAAGCAGTGGTTCTCAACCTTTTTAATGCCGCGACCCCCAAGTCGAGGACTAAACCGGTCGTAAGTCGAGGACTAAACTGGTCGTAAGTCGAGGACTAAACCGGTCGTAAGTCGAGGACTACCCAACCGGTCGTAAGTCGAGGACTTTCCCTGCCCGGGAGCGCCGCGCATGCGTGGTTCTGCCCCCTGCGCCGGCCGAGGAGTAGCTGGCAAGTGGCAGAGATGGAGCAGGCCGACCACCAGCTGGCCCAGCCCAAGGGAGGTAAGGCACCCGTCAGAAAAGGGGAAAAAAATGGCAGACAAAAAAAATGGCGGACAGCCTTGCTTGGCGACCCCTGTGAAATGGTCGATCGACCCCAAATGGGGTCCCGACCCACAGGTTGAGAACCACTGGTTTAAAGGTGTTTGTGCGTGCGAAAGAGAGAACACACAGTGCAACAGCATTCTCTCTCTCTCTCTCTCTCTCACACACACACACACACAGACACACACACAGACACACACACAGAGGACCCTTAATTAAGCAGCGCAAGGCTTAACATTTGCCACCACGAAGGAGACGGGAGGAGAAGCGCGTTAAGAAACTCGTGGAAAGCACAATATGGAAACGGTGCGAGAGCGCCACCTGCTGGCCTTTAATGGAGAAGAAAAAGGTAGAAGAAATCC